CTTGACAGCCGCACTTCAATGGCCACTTGCCACCACCATCTCTAGTTACAGAGACGGCTCCGACAAAAAGAGCAGTGGCGGTTCTGCCCCAGTAGAGGTGATGACACCCGAACTGGCAGAAGCACGGAAGTAATCATACCCGACCTGATAGGAGCCTAGGAGTGAGTGCGCGAGGTGGTTATAAAAGGCTCTCTACCCCCCAATGACAGGTATGCAAAACTTTGTGCTATCTGGTTTTATCTCGCCTTTGAAGGATTCTAACTTGAGCTTCGGAGCCTTTACACCGGGTTCCCCCCGGAGCTTCCTCATCTTCTCTGTTTCAGGTTCCCTGCTGCTTAGTTCAGAGACAAGGTCGTTGACAGATAAGATCGGCTGGATTGCGCATCATCAAGTATGAATATAAAATGAGAGGGAAAATTCATTAAAGACTTTTCCTCAACTTCCTCTTTATTATTATTTTTTTTGTTATTTTCTATCAAACCAAACATAACCTTAAGATACTGCCCCATAATCCGGTGCATATCTGCTAGTTACCTATTAGTTGGTTTCCTGGACCCCCAATATATGGGAATGCATATTCCAGCCAGCATGGATCTTCCTAATAGGTAGCCAAGTAACCAGCAAATTATGAGTCCGGATGGCCTACAAACAAAATTATGCACACTGGGTTATTGGACCTATCAAGAGTAAACATGCCAATGTTTTATATGCATAAGGTGTGGGCTCTGTTTGTATATAGGGGTGTCAATTGGACAGGATTTGGACCATTCCAATCCAGTCTACTGTGAGTCTATTACAAATGGATCAGGTCCAATCCAATCCAATGAATGTTTTGGACTAATTTGGACCAGTCCAATTCAATGTCTGAACCGTTTAATCTGTTCAAATTCATTTTGATTTAGATTGGTTTCAATCCAAACCCAATCCATTGACACATAATTCTTATCTTATATCAATGGGCCAGATATTGGCTTAATCCAACCCAATCCAATATAAATTTGTTATGGACGGACCAGGTCCAATTCAATCTAATAAATATTTTGGACCGAATTGGTCCAATCCATTGTCTTGTTGGTCCATCCAATCCATTCAAATTGCTTTTGGACTGGACGGGGTCCAATCCAAAACCGGTCCATTGACACCCTTATTTGTATATGAGCTCATCTTGTTCCAACTCAGAGTGTCCATGTCCAGTGGGCCTACCGTGCACCCTCCCCTGCCCTTATTACGGGAAAATGTATGATGTTGAAAAAACATGTTAGAAGAGCTTTGACCAATCAAAACCCCCAGTGAATTATGATAAAAAGTACCTGATTTGTTATCATTTTTATGATAACAGTTGATTGGTTATAAATTTTTCTGGTATCATAATCAAACTCATATACCATCGAATCAAAGTATCAAACCAGTGACAACTATTATGAAAGATATAGCCTGGTGATGATCACGTATATAAGCTTTCCATATATAAACTTCTGATGTTCAAGGCTCTAACATACCCAGGTTCCTTGCGTCTTCCTGGGCGCAATAGGCATTCTGATCTATTTTAGGTAAAACTGATGATCATGACAAGAGAAAGTGAATGGTTTCCTGCATGAACCAACATGATCCCATTTCTGTATACAGCAATGGGTGGTTTTGGGCTTGGAAGGTCACTGCAGGGCTTATCCTCCAATGGACATTTTTCTGCTTTTTGTATTAGTATATATTGTCAAAATTGAATGGGATGCCAAATGGGAAGGCCCAGCAATCTAGCTTAACTGCTCAAGATTGACAAACTATTCAAAAACTGGGAACATGGGATTGCCAACAGTTTATTTTTTTGATTTGCTGCTGGTTCTATCATATGAGGTAATTCAATTTTTTTTTTTGAAAAGACTGAAAATGTGATTCATAAAATTAAAATTTGAGCAGGGTGGACAAAAAGTCTTATGTGATAGGTAAAATCACTTTGATTAGAAGGAAAATTCTATGATACGGTTGTAAGATTAGGTATGTTGGGCAGTTGAGAAATAGTATATTCAAGAAATGAAAATGGGAATACTTAGTCATAAATAAAGTGATAAAATGAGGAAAAGTAGATTGAGATGATTTAGTCATGTGCATAAAAGACTATGTACAGAAAAACAATCCTTTATTATTTGAAAGGGGTAGAAGAGATAAAAGGGGTACTAAAAAGGACTTGAATGGAACTAATAGGAAATGATTTAAGCGCCTATAATTTAATGATGGACAGCTGACCCATATGATTGGAACAAATTTTAGATGATGATTTATTTGAATCAAAGAAATAAGATGAGTTTCTCATAGGCATCAAATCATAGCCAGTTCAGGATACGTCTTCCATCAGTAACTTAAGCATTACAAAAATTATGACCTTTAAAGGGCAGTCAAAACCGCCTCTAAAGATAGGAAATAAGTTGTAGAATAAAAAAACTGAACCTATTCAGTCGTTAAATCAATTACCCATGGCCAATAAATCCTATATTTGTTGTCAATTTCTACTTTTCCCTGCAATTTCTTAGGAATTTCTACACTTTTAAAAGCCCTAACAATCTGTACTTCAATGGTTGAACAGGAAATTGAAATTGAAGTCAATAAGGGGCGACAAAGTGGCAACCTTTGTCCTCATACTTTATTCCCGTTGAATCTGGATTATATTTGGTTAAAAGATTCATGGGAGGTGATATTACTGCTGTATGATACATGAAACTTTGTGATCCGATTTAACATTCGATCCGATTATTTCAGATCTAATACGACATCCAATCCAATTATCTCAGATTTGAATGGTGTGTTTACAAAATCGATATGATTTAGATTTGGCTCCATGCAATCCGATTAAAACCCAAATTTGATTATATTAATTATCATATTTATTCATTTTAATATATAAATTTTATATAATTATTTTTAAAATTATAAAAAATATATTTTGTATACTATATTATATATGAATTTATATATAGTAAATTTAGTATGTTATATTTACATTAACTTATTATACATAAAATTTGAAAAGTAATTAATTTTCTAATCATTTTTGTATTTAAAAAATTAAAACAGAGTCTGATCAAATCCAAATCTAATACAAACCCGTTAGGATTTGAATTTGAACTCTACGCCTTCAAATCCGATTAGATTTCAGATTCATATGCAAGTTTTCAGTAATGAAATGATATTTGAATTTTATTGAATCCAATCTGAATCTGACCCGTTTACAGCTCTAGGTGCTATCCCACCCTTGACCTTTGTTTAACCCCTGTTCATGGATACCAAAATAAAAGATGAAAAATGAAAAGAAATGTAACAAAATTGGTAAGCCGAAATCCCTCTTCCTAACATAAGCACGTCATATACATTGTTTATTTTCCATTTGTAGAGAGATATTACAGCTTAGCTTACAACGTTGGCCGCATGCAAACCTGCCAAAGGAAATCCTAGACTGCTTTATATCATCAGTCACATTCACATATACAGATGGAGGAAAAGTGCAGCGAAAAGAGCAGAGTACTTGGTCTTCTGTTCATTCTACAATCAGCAAGTTGTTTTGCAGCATACCCTCACCTACGGTAGGGAATTCTGGTGATAGCTGCCATTCTCCATCCACCAAAAACTTGATCTCGTATCTTCATGCCATTAAGAAAAGACAGAAGTTAAAATGCAGAGAATCCCATAAAGAACGAGGGTGGCTTTCTACTTTATTAGACTCTTACCTTCCAGGCCTTAGCATCAGGGTTGTTGAGAATCTGGTGAAAGAACCCGTGTATTCTGGTGATAGGTGTTCCCCTTCAGTCCAGCCACCGAAGGAGCCCATTACTTGCACGCTCTGATTCTCAAAAACAGTCAAGCTTTCACATCATAATCAAAACAGGATTATCCCTGAAAAGTTCAGCTAGAACTGCCAAAGCATTGCCTAACTTTAATGATTATATTTTCTGAGGCTGCATTTCGTTCGGACTTCCAGGAAGATTTTGGAGGGATGGGAATCTGGGATGATATGAGAAAGGGATAATGGGTGGATATTTTTCACAATCTATTGTTCGGTTGCAAAAGGGAGAATAGTGGGAAAATCACCCCAATAACAATTATTAATTAACTAGTTAATTAATAACATTTTTTATTATTTTATTTTATTATTAATTATTACTTATTAATATTTATTATGAATTAATTAATAATTTTTATTTTGTATAATTAATTAAATTTTTATGAAATTTCTTAAACTACCCTTATGGTTTAGCTAATTTACTAAGTGCACCCTTACTGTTTGAAAATTGAGTAAGTGTACCCTTACTGTTTCTGACAATTGATTAAGTGCACCCTTAGCCGTTAAACATGGACAAAAAAGGTCAAATGCCCGTTTTACCCCTATGTGAAGTTACATTTTTGTCCCTGATTTTAACTTAACTCAATATCCCTATCCCTCTCAGACACTCGCCCCATTTGTTGAAAGAGAAGATAGAGTCAAGGAGGAGCGCCATCCATCGACGTTGCCATCGCCACCGACGACAATCACTGCAAATACCAAACGGCGGAGGTCTGACAAAGGTTAGTGAGTTATTTTTGTTTTCTTAACACCCTTTTTTGTTTGTTTAGCGTTAATAAACCCTAAACAAAACGGCAAGGGTTTTTTACTAAAGGAATCTAGTGTTTGACCAGAACATAGTGTTCTTTGTCAATTTTGCAGGGTTATTTTTTCGCTTTCGCAGTGAGTTCTAAGGAAACGTTGATAGAGGAAGAAGTTGTTCTAAATAACTGTAGTGCTTCTTAATTCTTAATTCGACGTGCCGCCGTGGATGGCAATGCATGCCAGGGGTGGAGGGTGAGACGCAAGGTGTTCCCATCCCGTCGGTCGAGGTTAGATTGCCTTCTCGCTCCAACGGTGGCGATGACCTTTCTTCAAACGAAAACAGAGGGGCGGCAGTGAACTAGCGGCACCCCTCCGGCACGCCAGGGGGTGGAGGGTGCAATGCGAGGTGCTCCCGTCCCGTCCCGTCAGTCGAGGTTAGATTGCCTTCTCACTCCAATGACGACGATGGCCCCTCTTCGAAAGAAAACAAAGGGGTGGTGGTGAATTAGTGGCACCCCTCCGGCATGTTAGGGGGTGGAGGGTGCGATGCAAGGTGCTCCCGTCCTGTCGGTCGAGGTTAGATTGCTTTCTCACTCCGGCAGCAGTGATAACCCCTCTTCGAACGAAAACAGAGGGGTGGCGGTGAACCAGTGGCACCCCTCCTGCCATTCTCTCCCATTTCTCTCTCTGTCCATTCCTCTTTTTACTATTACAGACCTTTCATCGTCGACCTCTGCTCGAACTAGAAGCGGTGATGACAATTTTCTCTCTAATCTCTTTCTCTCACACTTTCTCTTCTTTTTTTTCTTCTCCTTCTCTCCCCTGCGTCCTCTCTCTCTCATTTTACTATTTCATCATTGTTGTCGCCGCTGCCGCAACTCATTGCAGCAACGGATCTGAACACGACAAATAACCAAGGACTAACACTAGCAGAGCAAAATGAACATTCAAATGTTAAAACAAAAGGAAATGAAAACGAGGTGTTTTGAATTAGTACTAATTTGAGTCGATCAATATGTTGTGGATCTGATGAACACCAAGCTAGTAACGAAAGTATACAATGAGAGAAAGAGAGAGAAGGGGAGAGAGACCATAGGTGGAGGGGGGGGTTTGAGAATGGAGAGAGAGAGACCGAAGAGAGATAGAGGCGGAGGGGGAGGTCCGAGAATGGAGAGAGAGAGACCGGAGAGAGATAGAGGCGGAGGGGGAGGTCTTAGAATGGAGAGAGAGTGGGGGCTCAAGGGACTAGGGTAATATTGGGTTTTTAAAAAAATTTATAGGTCACATGAGGTCACATGTGCATAGATTGTGACGGAGCATTAACGGATGCTAACGATAGGGGTAGAGTTAGTCAATTGTTAGAAACAGTAAGGGTAGCGTTAGTCAATTTTCAAACATTAAGGGTACACTTAGTCAATTAGCTAAACCATAAGGGTAGTTTAAGAAATTTACCATTTATTTATTAATTAAATTAAGAATAAATTAATTAATAATATCTTTATTATTTAGTACTTTATTATTAACTATTAGTTAGATATTAATTATAAATTAATTAATATTAATAACTAGTTAATTAATTATTAAAATTAACTAATATTTTAATTTTTATTAGTTTAAATTTTACTAATATTTTTTATTAATATATATGACTTAATTGATGATTTCAGCAATTTATTATTAATTATTAATTAGTAAATTATTTGCAATTGATTAATATTTTTATTAATTTATTTATCAGTTAATTTTAATTAGATTATTTTATTAATATATTATTAAATAATTAATAATTTATTAATGGGTCTGGCCTAATTAATTGAAAAAATAAATGAGTTTTTATAGATTCCTCCACCTCATAAATTTTTATAAATGTATACTTTATACAACTACAACTCGGAACAATGACAAGTGGAGGAATCTATCACAATACAAAGGGGATATTGTAGCATAAGTGGGGTTTGGGACAATACATTTAGAAAACCAATAAAATTTTCTAAAGGGGAGAAAATCGTAAAATTCCCAATGATTAAAAGTGATGCATTGGTTGAAATCCTTGGAAGGTTTCTCATGTGTTTCAACAAATGGTACACTAAGAAATTGGATGGAAGCTAGGAAGTGACAAGCTCTTCTATTTGCAAGACTGTCATCAAATTACCAATGGTTTCCACCGGGTAGAGGGTTCATTAAACTAAAATTTGATGGCAGTGTTTTAAGGCATACAAAGGGCAAGGACAATTCATTAGTAAACTCTTTGCTGATGGAGATTCAAAACTAGTAACCAACTGGCTACAAGACGAGGGGATGATGATGTGGATATATAATAATGAAAGGAAAAAAAAATAGGTGGTTAACTAGAGACATGGAAGTAAGTCACGCTTGGGTTAAAAAGAACGCTCACTCTACTGACGTCTTAGCTAAACAAGGGGTGGGAAGAGTCTTTGTTTTGCGCAAAGCTGCAAGGGAGAATGGGTAATTTAGGGAAAGAGAAGAGGTTTCATCTCTCACTGTCTTTGTTCTGTACTTAGTGTACTTACTCCTATTTGCTCCTATTTGCTCTTATTAATAAAAAGTTATTGATAAAAAAATGGGTCATGGGTCTAAATATTAACTCTTAAAAATACTATGAACTGTTTTTCTGTTAAACAAGTTTCCCCCTCCTTTCCCACTTGTTTCCCACCAAAATGGTGAGATTCCACATCCCAAGAATTGAGATCTGTAGTCCAGCTTTTCCCATCCCATCTTATGACATTATACAAACCAAACATGGAAAGGGAAGATATTCTAGAATATTCCATTTTTTCCCTTCCCATCCCACAAACGAAATGGAGCTTTAAAGACTTGATGAAATTCATTAATAGGGGCTTTCATAGTTCACCTTAGTTTGTCCTTGGCTTGTATAGTATTATAATCCAAGTCTAGCCTTGCAAAATTCAGGTTCTGGTTGGAATAGGCAAGTACTGTGTCATTATTGTTTGAGAACCAAATGCTTAGAGTTATGGGTATTGTGCAGTTTAAGGGGAGGAGCTTGGATTGATACTGACCTGATCCACTCTACAAGGGTAATGCCCCAAAGGGTCATTTCATTTTTATTTTCTAAATCTCTTTGTGAGTAAACAAGAAGGTAGTTGGTGATTTTATCTGTGGATGGAGTTTAAAGATAGTAATTAATTACCTCTGCCATACCAACCCAGAATAAGGACACCTCCTTTGCTTGAATAGCATCGACATCCTTGATCTGCTCTTTCAGTTTCTCGTGTAAAGCTCAACGAAAGAAAGGAGGCAACAAATTTTTATTGTCAAAAATTTCACAAAAATGCAATTTTCTTTTAAACTTTTATGTATTTGTATATATATATATATGGAAAGAGAGTATATAATAAACCTAAGTTTAGCACCTGATGGGGCTGGCCAAAACAGAGTTCACACTCCAATCAACTCAACAATGCAAAAGTTTTCAGCAATGTTATCAGACTAGGACCAGACAGAAAAACAGAGTGCTCATTGGGTCACAGTTTAATTGGTTAACCCGTTCTGACCATGAAAACCATCAATTAACCAAGACCTGGATAGATCACCAGGTCACTGGTTCAACTGTCCAGCCTAGTCCAAGTCTGACAACACTACTGTAACAGCCTTAGGTGGGCATTATCCTTAAGTCAAATCAATTATAGCTAACTTCAGAATTGTGAACTGATTTCATAATTGTCTTAATAAGAAATAAGAAAAAATTTAAGTAAACAAATCTTTAACCCAGTGTTCATGGTGTAGTAATGATACCTTGCAATCTGGAAAGAAGGTGGGACTGAATGTATTTCCCATTAATTTTTCTTGAACCTTGCTGAATGACAGAATTAGCAACCTCTTCTGCCAATGCGACCAAAGACTGCCTAGGGAAAATCTCAAGTTAAAATCTTCATAGTCTGTATGCTCAATCTCTTTTCTTGCAGGCATATCTTTCAAAAGCAATTTCTGGTAAAACTACTTAATTCTAGCACTACAAGTCTACAATCACTAAATGTATATGGTTCTCACAAGACAACCTAGGCACAGGGTGTTTCAACATGTAACCCCATCTGTTAACCAAAATACTTCTACCCTGTCATTTGTTAGATATAAGTATTTGATGAATATTTAGAGCCTAGGGTAGTTGTAGACTTGCATCATGGAGGTAGCTAGGATGTTTTTCTTGGGGAGTTCTCTGCTTTGTCTACATATGAAAACAGCCACATTTAGAGATAGTGTTGCATGGATACAAACATAGGAATCAGAACCTGATGAGTCCAAGAGTCCAACTCAGTAAACCCCAAAAAAGTAAGATTTGTGAACACATCCCACATAAATAATATTTTAATAAGTATATATGTATATATTAAATATTATGAATTTCTAATATTGTTCTTAAGATTCATAGAACTAAATAAGTATAACAAATTAAATAGTCAATTGCAACTCACAATTGACAAGTTAAACTCACAACCTTGTACTATTTGTTGTGTGTCCACACTGGCTGTTTTTCATTGTTTTCTCAATTTGAATGCTAATTGGAAATAATATCCAATAAACAATAGATCAAGTTATGCATAAATTGGGAAGATACAGATACTGTAGTTTTAAAACAATAATGGTTTGACCATTGTTACATAAAGGTACTTAAGTCAGGATTGATAATTGGAGAGTGGCGACATTTTGGTAAATCTGCCTGGTTCACAGTTTCACACTGTAGCAAATTCCAATATGTATGTATTTCTGAGAGTCGTACACGAGTCAATTCATGGACACAATCAACTCACAAGTCGCCTCCAAAAGTGGGTTCCCATGCAAAGATGGTAGAGATTTTACCTTTTTACAAACAAAAATCATATATACAACCATTTTCTTACAGATGGTGATGTATGTGTTCCCACAAATTTGTATTACAGAACCAGTGTTGCATGGATTCTCCTAAATGGATGGCATGTCTGCATGGGGTATGCATAAGATTCTGACACACTCAAATTATTGAGGGAACACATTTGTTAAGACCAATGCTGTAATACAATGAATAACACACAGAAGCAGATTATAATGAAATTGCAAAAGAGGATAACCTGAATTTCAAGTTTTTTTTTTTGATAAATGAGTGATATTTTATTCAAAAAGGAACAATATGATAACCTGAACTTCAAGTTCCATGATGGAAAGTTCACTTTTGAAGTTAATTAAATCATCCTCCTTTGTTTGCAACTGTGAAGTACAAAAACCAGCATAGCATGTTAGTTCCAAGGTGATCATGCTAACAAATATCCTAGCACAAGCTATTTTGCCCAGTGTTTCATTTTTGTTACCGAATTGAAGAAACTTTAAAATGGATGAAAGTCATTGTAGGGAAACAAGACGATTTACGTAACACTACAGGCTTATATTTCAATAATTATAGTCTAAATAATTAACTGTTTGGAACCAGTTAGGTAATTATACAATGTGCAACCAATGATACCACATATGCAAAAGGCAATTAATATTGACATAATAATAGTTAACGTTTTATGGTTCTTAGTGTATCATTATGATGCGCACTGATACAATATAATATGATAAAAAATTGCTAAATATGCATGGATGATATGTAAAATGTTAGAAACATTATAGCTTATGAATTTCTTGCAAAATATTACTAGAATTTATTGAAAGATCACACATTTATTTGGTTGTTCTAAATGCATGCAAAATCTAAGTTGTTCATACGTTTTATATATTTATATGATATTAAATTAATATCTATAAATAGTTCAATTGGAAAAAAGGATTGAAAGTTGAAGCGGCCATGCATAGTCATTAACGTGACAAGGCATTTTCTCGATACATGTTTGACATTTTAGGCAAGGAAAAAGACAAAGCAGACACTTCATTATATGTTGTATAGTATGTTATATTTTATTTCATTATTCATACTCTATGATACATAAAATCACATACTATAACTATTACGTTGTTCATTGCTTTCTTGTAGTATTTCTCTCAGTATAGAATATAAGAAATTAAAAATATGGGACATGTTGATATGGATCAAAACCAATGATTTGCTCAAAAACCATTGCCTCATTGGCTTAAGTGCTTAGCTGACAAGGTGGCAGTGCGGCACCCTGTTGCATAGTCTCACCTTGATGCCTTGGTAACTATTCACCCATGTATATCTCTTGTATCCATAATGAGTCTCTCAAAATTGACCTTGTGATGCTCTCCTCGAGACCAAAAATTTAACCTTGGATATTAGATATTAGATACAATTATTAGCATTTGTAGTTATAATTAATATTATGTTTAATTTGAAACTTAGAGAGGAATGTGAAAACATGATTTGTGTTGCCTAGGTGGAACAACGCAGATTGTGATGACAAAGAAAGGTTACTTCTAATTTAGAAACACCTTAATATTACAGGCATGCACATATGAAAGAATAATTTGAGAAACCTTCCCAACTAACAAATGCATGCTTGTAACATGTCTATGGGGTATATCTCCTTTTACATGTGGTTGAATTGTATGGAAACACATGAAGCAAGGAACAGATAAGGAACTGTATGATGATTAGAGTGATTCATTGGATCAAATCCATGGATCTGTTTTCTCAAGTTTCTCCTGATGACCTGTGGAGAAATTGGGAAGGACTGGCAAGAAGTTCATCCAGAAGGGAAAGAATAAATGCTGTATGGCTACCCCCACCTGAAAACTATGTGAAGCTGAATTTTGACAGGAACAGCAGGGGGAATCCAGGACCTGCTTGTATAGGAGGGGTTGTGAGAGACATGGATCGCAAACTGTTAGCCATGTTCTCTGGCCTAGTGGGGATTCGATTGGGGACTCTCTGAAGGCAGAATTACTTGTTGCCTTACAAGGAGCACAAATTGCTAATGAATTGAATATAACCAATTTGGTGATTGAAGGGGACTCAAAACTGGTGGTGGGTTGGTTAAATGATCCAGATTCTGTAATACGGTGTTACAGGGATGAGTTAAAAAAGTTTTTATGGATCACCAAGGATAAGAACTTGAGGATAGAATGGGTGAGGAGATCAGCTAATGGGTTAGCTGATACCCTTGCCAAACAAGGGGTGAATAGACAATCTTTGTTTTGGGCTCACCTGTAATATTTTTATAATTGTTTATGTTCTGTTTTTGTTTATAGAGAGGTAGCATCTCATGCCTCTCTAAGGGATGCTTGTAATGCCTATACCTTCAGAATTAATAAAATATATTCTCATTTATCAAAAAAAAATTGTATAGAAACACATATAGCAATAAACAAAGCTTGACTTCTGATCTCACTCCCAAAAGGAGTATTAGCATAAATATTACATCTTTTCTATAACTATCATCCAAAATATAATTGCAAGAGTGGCAAACTCTGTTACTTTAATTTGTTTGGATGCACCGAAATAATATATATGGTACCTTGCTCCCATCTCTAGCAAAGGGGATATCAAGGCCTCTGATACCCTTGTCTTATCCTATGTTCTTCATGTCCCCAAACTTAATACCAACCTTTTATCTGTTAGTAGCTTGACTAAATCCATGAATTGTAGCATAACCTTTTTTCCTACCCATTGTGTTTTTCAGGACCTAACATTTCAAAGGACGATTAGGAGTGGCCATGAGGCGAATGGAATATACTTGCTGGACACACCTGATAGGAGTCTTGGACCACCTAATGGAGTAGCCTTGGACTATGTTTTGTCAAAGTCCTTTGACAGAGCCATGTTATGTCATTTACGGTTTGGTCATTTACCTTTTTCTGCTTTGAGTCATTTGTTTCCCGATATGTTTAAGGAAATGTCTGTATCGAGTCTTCATTGTGAGTCATGTGAACTTGCAAAAACATTGTAGACATTCTTATTTAGTGAGCAATAAAAGATCTATTTCTCCTTTTCATATTGTGCACTCTAATGTGTGGGGGCCATATCATCTGCCTACTATGGGGGGTTACAAGTATTTATCCTCTTTATTGAAGATTATTCTCGTTATACTTGGATTTACCTCATGAAATCCCAAGATGAAGTTCCAACTTCCAACCATTGTGCAAAAGTTTCATGAACTTATTCTCACTCAATTTAACACCCGGGTCAAAATATTCCACTCTAATAATGCTAAGGAATATTTTGAGAAGAACCTTTCATCATACTTTGAGACCTTTGGGGTTATTCATCAAAGTTCTTGTTCCTACACTCCACAACAGAATGGAGTGGCGAAAAGGAAGAACCGCCATGTAGTTGAGGTTGCTAGATGCCTCCTGTTTGCATCACATGTTCTTATCAAATTTTGGGGGGATGTTGTTCTTACTGCCACATATTTGATTAACCGTATGCCTTCTCGGGTTTTGGGTTTCAAAACCCCATTTAGCCTTCTCTTTTTGGATGAGAATCTCTTTTCTCTTCCTCTCCGAGTTTTTTGGTGCACCTACTATGTACATGTTCATAATCATCAGAGACATAAATTTGAGCCTAAGGCTTAGTTTGGAAGGAGTACAAATACATATCCTAGTGTGCAAAACCTTACATTTTGTATTATTTTGTATGTATTTGTACTATACATATTTGTCTTTGTACTCCTTCCAAATTGAGCCTAAGGCACATAAGTGTGTCTTCTTAGGATATGCCTCCATACAAAAGGGATGTTGTTGTTTTGATCTGGTTCGTGGCACCCGTTTTGTCTCTGGGGATGTAACATTTGCTAAGTCTACTCCTTTCTTTCGTGTTTCTCCAGAGGGGGAACGTTCTGAGGAGCCATTTGCTATGTCCCTAGTTGTTCCTCTTCTAGTTCCCTTTGAGCCTTCTATTGAGCCATCTTCCTTTGTTGCTTCTCCTTCCACTGGGTCTACCTCTCATGTTCCTACTCCTTCTCCTCCGGATCACCCTCCAAATTTTCACTCGCATCCCATTGTCCAAAGGTGGTACCAAAGACAAATTCAGGCATGAGAAAATTGTTTCCTCTCCTTCAATAGAGCCTCTGGCACTTCCATCACTTCTGAGGTAACAAGTTGGCCTTCATCTGACCCTTCTACTGCCTTCCTAGACCTTGACTTTCCTATTGCCCTTCACAAAGAAAAGTGAAAGTGTACATCACATTGTATCTCCAAACACCTGTCCTATAACCTTCTATCCCCTACCTATTACTCTTTTCTTGCCTTTGTTTCTACCCATGTGATTCCCAGGTTTGTACCAAAAGCCCTATCCAAACTTGAGTGGAGGGATGTTGTGATGACTGAACTAGATGCTTTGCATAAGAATCATACCTAGGATATTGTGGATTTGCCCGAAGGGAAGGAACTAGTGGGTTTTAAATGGGTGTTCACTATTAAGTATCATTCCGATGGCACTATTGAGAGATTTAAGGCTAGATTGATTGCTAAAGGCTACACTCAGATGTATGGTATTGATTACCTTGAGACTTTTGCTCCTATGGCTAAGATGACTTCAGTTAGAGTTTTGTTGTCTCTAGCTGCTACTTTTGATTGGCCCCTCCACCAATTTGATGTTAAAAATGCCTTCTTGAATGGAGACCTGCAGAAGAGGTCTATATGCCTTTGCCTTCAGGGGTGTATGGAAAAGAAATGCAAGGAAAGGTGTGTAAACTGCAAAAATCGATTTATGGTCTCAAACAGTCTCCTCAAGCATGGTTTGAGAGATTTAGAACTGCCCTTGTCTCTTGTAGTTACACACAAACTCACTCTAACCATACTTTGTTTTTGAAAAGAAGTAACTCCTTGGTGACTTTTCAGATTGTTTATGTTGATGACATTGTGGTTACAGGTAATGAAACCCAGGAAGTGATTAAGCTCAAAAGATTTCTTAACTCTAAATTTGAGATTAAGGATTTGGGGGATCTCAGATATTTCTTGGGAATTGAAAGTTTCTAGATCTAAGGATGGTATCTTCATTTCTCAACGCAAGTATGTTCTTAACCTCCTTGCAGAGACTGGTAAACTTGATGCTAAACTGGCTTCCACTCCTATAAACCTCAATCATAAGCTCTCTACTACTGATGATGAACTATTGTTTGATAGGAGAGTGTTTTAGAGACTGCTAGGGAAGTTGTTATATCTATGCATGACTCAGCCAGATATTTCCTATGCAGTGACTATTATTAGTTAGTTTATGCATTCTCCCAGAGATACACATTTAGCTGCTGCTGAAAGAGTTTTTGTGTTACTTGAAAGGCACTCCAGGGAAAGGTATTCTGTTTGCCAAG